AGCTGTGGCGGAGCGCGAGAAGCTGGCCGCCAAGGCTGGGGTCCACTGGGAGGACGGCCCGGCCCAGGAGCTGCTGGTGAGGACAGTTCCCAGGCAGGGCGTGAAACAGGCCACAGAGACCAGGTGGCCTTCCTGAGGTCACACAGCAGAGCACGGGAGGCCAGGATCCGCGGCCTGAGTCTGTACCGCCTCCTGCAGGTCACACGCCACAGTAATAGCTAGAAAAGCGCAGAGCCCCCACTTCACGCGTCCCCCGCTGGACAGTGGGCGCTGGCGGGTGGAGCCCGGGGTGTCTGAGGGGCGCCGTCTGAGGGGCGCCTGGCCTTCTCCCCCCCAGCGCCTGCAGAAGCTCGTCTGCCAGCTTCAAGGAGAGCTCCGGGCGCAGGCGTCTCGGTGGTCAGCCGCTCACAGGAGACTCCAGAGTCAGATGGACATGCTGGCCTCGCAGAACCTGGAGCTCCGGGAGGCGCTGAGAGGTTTGGGGCTGCAGCTGCTGCAAGTGTCCGAGGTGCCACCCGCGCCCGTCCCCACGGGACAGTCCAGCCCGCGGGTACAGCAGGCCTCGCCCTACTCCTGATAGCGGGCAGCACCGCGGGAGGGCCTGCTTCCTCGCGGGGGGGGGGGGTGGGGGTGGGAGGGTGGAAGGGTGGGGGGAGGGCCTGCTTCCTCATGTGGTGGGGAGTAGGAGGAGGGGCTGCTTCCTCACGGGGTGGGGGGGGTGGCACCTGGCACTCTGGAGGTGGCGCCCTTCAACTCCTCCTGGAGCCCTTTCCCCCAGGCCTGCACCCTGTCTCCAGGCCAGCTCAGGAGTCTAGGTCAACGGCAGCACACGGGGTTGGGGGAGTCATTAACTCCATGTGGCCACAGTGGGGTTGGAGTCGGGCTGAGGTCACCGTGAGCGTGGGTGGAGCTAATCACCCCAGAGTGGGCGGGCGACAGACACCGCAGCCCCGCGCCAGGAGAGGCGCTTCCCAGAGCCTCAACGCAAAGGCAGCCTCGGCCGCGGGGAGATGAGCACTCAGGACGCATCTCCCAGCTGGGCCTGCACCTGGAGGCACCAGCCGGCCGCACTCTCGGTGCCAACACACAGACTCCTGGGGTGTGGAGGTGGCCCAAGGGGTTTCTGTGGAGTGCTAACCCACACTGCTGACCCGAGCTGACCAGGTCAACTGAATACAGAGTGGCTGGAGAACTTGGGATGTTCCTGGCATGGGAGCATCAGAAGGCTACACACATCTACACACACATATCCATGCACAGGAGCACGCATAGACCCATACCCATGCACACACACATACCCACATGCATGAATACAGACATATGCACATGCACATGCACACGAGCACACTTGTAAATGCTTATATGATTACACAGGTGCACAAGTATACACACATGCACACATATACATGCAAACATGCACATACACAGACATGTATACAATTACACACACATGAGGACATGTGCACATGCCTACACACATGTGCATGCATGCACACACAGAAATACGCATATGCACACACACATGCACATACAGAAATACACAGACTCACATATGGTTATACCCATGCATGCAATTATATACCTCCATATACCACACATATATGTACACATGTACACATCAGGCACAGATGCACACACTACAAATATATGCACACCTGTGCACACACACTCAGAAGGGCTGCAGAGGAGCCAGCAGTCAGGAGCAGCGGAAGGACCTGGGGCTGACCCTCTGTGGAGCAAGCAGTGGTTGTGTGTCAGTAGGAACTGGGGTTTGCTGCTGCCGCTGCTGCAGGAGGCCACTTGACATCCTGTGCAAGTTTAGGCACATCCTCCTGGCCAGTCATGCCCTCCACTCCCGTTCACAGCACGCCGGGCAAGCATTTTGTAACACATCCTGGGGCAGCAGGGAAACCTTGGTGGGCAGCTCTCTGCAGGTGGCCCGGCCTTCCAAATGCTCACTGATTCTGCATTTGCCTCGCCTGGCCCTGGGCTCTGTGGGGAACAGTGTGTGACCTTTCCCCAAGGATGTGCCTGGTGTGTCTGTGTGCAGACATGATTTAGGGTCATGTCAAAAATACTGACACATTAAGCTGGGCACCAATGACTCTTGCCCATAATCCTAGATACTCAGGAGGCTGAGATCGGAGGATCATGATTTGAAGCCAGCCCAGACAAGAAAGTCTGTGAGACTCTTATGTCCACTAAACTACCAAAAAATGTTGGTTCAAAATGGTACAGCACTAACCTTGAGCAAAAGAGACTCAGGGACTGAGTTCAAGCCCCATGACGGGCACACACAAAATACTGACATGAGAGCAAGGTGTGCAGCCAGTGTGAGTTCCTCCTGCCTCAGAGAAGTCTGTGAAAACTGAAAATCCAGACCCCAAACACCACACTCTGCCTATGGATCTGCTGTTGGCAGAAGTTGTCCCAGGCAGAAGTGGGAGCTCTAGCTGCACAGCTCTGAAGATGCAGAGCCACCAGACACAGAGCTACCAGACAAGGGCCACCAGACTCATGGCCACCAGACGGAGAGCCACCAGACTCAGATCCACCAGACACAGGGCCACCAGACTCAGATCCACCAGACACAGATCCACCAGACTCAGATCCACCAGACTCAGATCAACTAGACTCATAGCCACCAGACAAAGAGCCCCCATATACAGTGCCACCAGACTCAGATCCACCAGACACAGGTCCACCAGACACAAATCCACCAGACACAGATCCACCAGACACAGGGCCACCAGACTCAGATCCACCAGACACAGGGCCATCAGACTCAGATCCACCAGACACAGATCCACCAGACTCAGATCCACCAGACACAGGGCCACCAGACACAGAGCCAACAGACACAGATCCACCAGACACAGATCCACCAGACTCAGATCCACCAGACTCAGATTCACCAGACTCAGATCCACCAGACACAGGGCCAGCAGACTCAGATCCAGCAGACTCAGATCCACCAGACACAGGGCCACCAGACACAAATCCACCAGACACAGATCCACCAGACACAGGGCCACCAGACTCAGATCCACCAGACACAGGGCCATCAGACTCAGATCCACCAAACACAGATCCACCAGACTCAGATCCACCTGACTCAGATCTCCCAGACACAGAGACACCAGACACAGGGCCACCAGACACAGATCCACCAGATACAGATCCACCAGACTCAGATCCACCAGACTTAGAGCCACCAGACTCAGATCCACCAGACTCAGATCCACCAGACTTAGAGCCACCAGACTCAGATCCACCAGACACAGAACCACCAGACACAGATCCACTAGACTTACAGCCACCAGACACAGAGCCACCAGACACAGATCCACCAAACTTACAGCCACCAGACACAGATCCACCAGACTTACAGCCACCAGACACAGATCCACCAGACACAGATCCACCAGACACAGATCCACCAGACTTACAGCCATCAGACACAGATCCACCAGAAACAGATCCACCAGACACAGATCCACCAGACTTACAGCCATCAGACACAGAGCCAACAGACACAGATCCAGCAGACTCAGATCCAGCAGACTCAGAGCCACCAGACACAGATCCACCAGACACAGGACCACCAGACTCAGATCCACCAGACTTGAGCCACCAGACACAGATCCACCAGGCACAGGACCACCAGACTCAGATCCACCAGACTCAGAGCCACCAGACACAGGGCCACCAGACTTACAGCCACCAGACACAGATCCACCAGACTCAGATCCACCATATACAGGGCCACCAGACACGGATCCACCAGACACAGATCCACCAGACATAGGGCCACCAGACTCAGATCCACCAGACACAGATCCACTAGACTCAGATCCACCAGACACAGAGCCCCCAGACACAGGACCACCAGACACAGATCAACCAGACTCAGATCCACCAGATACAGGGCCACAAGACACGAATCCACCAGACATAGAGCCACCAGACACAGGGCCACCTGACACAGGGCCAGCAGACTCAGAGCCACATCTTCTCCATCCTTAGCACACTGTTGGGTAAAGAATGCTGTTTCCAAGGAAACAAAGTCTGTCCTCTGGGTCCTGTGATTACTTTGAAATGGCAACCAGTGCATAGCATGGTGTGTGCTCGCCTTGAAACAGGGCGACTCTCCCCCCACATCCTAGGGAGACCCAGCCCACATCTACACACCTTGCACCCTGCTTCTTTGAGGACATTAAAATCATTGTTGCATGGATAAAAAATTTCAAATTTACCTTATAGCCGAATGTCTTCTCCTGAGTTTTACTTGTGATTCATTGCTTTGATGTTTGAAAAAAAAAAAAAAAAAGTCTCCACCAGCTGGTGAAGGCATAATACCGGAGTGCATTGACCCAGTGAATCACAACCCTGCTGTTCCAGGACCAAGACGACTATCCAAAAATGTAGAGACCCAAGGCAACCCTCTGCAAGCTCTGGAGGGAAGCAGAGATCTGCACTCCATCCCTCCTCCTGCAATGCCACCTCCTGCTGAGCATCCCCTGCCCCGCCCTCAGCCTCAGCTGCTTCGTAGACCACCACCAAGCACATCTGGCAAAGGCTCCAAGGCCTCTGATGCCTTCCTCCACTGTCCATGCTGATGCCCATGTTGATGCCCATGCTGGGTCCCGGCACTCTGTTCAGATGCTCTCCCTGGAGAGCAGCCCGAGACTCTCCTACCATTGGCTTGGAGCCCTGTGCATGAGCTGTCTCTACCTGTACCGTGGCTGCCGCTGGGTTCCCTCTGTCTTTTGTTTGGGGGCCAGGGTGTAATGCTCTGGAGGGAATTAGATGAATGAAATAGATTGCTTAACACCTGTGCGGACTAGCGAATGGAGAACGGAGGCCAAAGCACACCTCAAAGCCATCAAAGTTTGAATGGCAGGAGGGCAGAAACAAGTTCTATGATGTTTTACGTTCTGCCACAATGTCTCCTCTTTCCTGCACCATGGGTCCCACGGCGGGCTGGGAAACGGGACGGGATGGACCAAGAGCAGCTGCTGGATGGTGGTCAGCCAGTAGCGTGGATTGTCCACGATTTTGGGATCACCTGAGAGTTACTAATGCAAACAAATGCCATACCTTTGTTTTGTAGCCAGTAGACATAAAAATAAAAAGTAACTCAGAGAAAGCAACACCCAGGAAGGACAAAAATCAAACCTCTTCCAGAAGTCTTCAGGACACAGGAACGGCGCCCGCCGGAGGGGAGAGTCCCCGGGAGGAGAAGCAGTCCTACCACAGAGAGGTGACACGGGAACATGTCAGTGGGGGGGGGGGGGTCTAGCAGGAAACCAGACTCAGTATCAGAACTGACCTCAGAATTAAGATCATTATGTCGCGATGGGTAAAAACAGTTTCTCCAGACATGTTGTTCATGTTTGTTTCTTTTTTAAAGTCCATAGAATCAAATATTTGCTTTACTGTGTTCCACAGTTGGGCTTGTTCTGATTAAAAATGAGGAGGACTTAGCTCTTAGTACTGAGTGTGCTGCTCATGGTGGAGTCCAGCCAGCTGCTATGAGCCGCGCCCAGGCTGGGGTCTGCAGGGGCAGGGAGGCACTGACCGGAGGGCTCTGTGGCTTCTCCTTCCAAGGTGGCACACGCACCGCCCCCCGTGCTGCGGAAGCCCCGGGGCGGACAGTGGCCAGCGCTGCCCTCCCGCCTCCCGCCGGAGGAGGCCGTGGCCGCAGCTGTCCAGAATGGTGAGTGTGGGCAACGCCGCAGCTTGTGCACGCGTGCACAGAGCCGTCCACGGGGACGCCCCGCCGCGGTGGGTGGTGCCCGAATCCTGGCTGTCTCACCCTCTCCATCCGCCCTGCCACATTCCTTCCTGCACCCACACACGGGCTGGTGGCGGGGTCCCAGGGCCCACGGTGCTCCCCTTCCTGTCTGCCGGCCTGTGGCTTCCCCTGCGGTGCCCGCCCGGCCCCTCCGAGGTCCGGCTGCTCTGCACCGGGTCGCCATAGTGGCCGTCGCTGAGGGAAGTGTGGCCGCGCTCCCCCCAACACCGGGGCCCCCATGCGGTGCCTCCAGCAGAGCACACCTGCGGGCCCTGGCTGCACCCCAGGAGGACAAGGCCAAACTCTCAGGTCCTCCTCGCTCTCCTGCAGCACGGACCTCCCCCGGGCCACGTCTACCTCTCTGCCTGAGCCCGCCGGCCGCCCTCTCCCCCGCCACCTCCCGCTGCCTCCCCTGCCAACTCCTGCCCTCCACCCAGTCCCAGAGCGAGGCCTCAGTTTACCCAGTCGTGTCTTTGAGATTTCTTCCTCTTTTCCCCTCTTCTTCCTCCCCTTCCCGCTAGGCTCCCCCCTCCTTCTCCCCCCACCCTCCGTGGGCCTAGGCATCCTCAGGTCCGTGGTGACTTCATCGGTTCCCCAGACTCTTCTGGAAGCCCGTGGAACTCCTCCCCCGGCGTCCTTTGTCTCTCTTGCCTCCATCCTCTGCGCTGTTTTTCTCTTCCTGCATCCCCTCTGCTGGGCTGTCGGCTGCGAGGCAGAGGCATGGCTTCTGGGAGGACCATGTCCTGAGCTGAGGGCACTCGGGAAAAGGAGCGAGGCCTAGCGGACTCGGATCGCTTCCTTCCTCCGGACGCCTGTCCTCACGCACTCCATCGCTCATGGGACAGAACTGATGCTCCTGTGGTGACCGGCTGGGAGACTCTCACAGCTCAGGCTGGACGTGGAAACCACGTCGGGGTAATGATCCTTCCCAACCAGCTCTGCCCCCAAGTGTGAAATGTGACTTCTTCCACCCTCAGACACACGCTCCCCCATCTCAGAGGGCTCTGAAGATGGGCTTCTGGCCCTGGCCCCGGTCCTAGCCGGCGAGTTCCCCGACTCGGTCCCACGCGACACAGAGCTGCAGGTGAGTGGGGTCCACCCCATGGAGGTAGCCTACCTGCTTCAGGGGTGGGGGTCTGGAGGGGGCTGCAGGGGTCACGGCACAGCCCTGCCTTCCTGCCAGCACTGGAGATGTGTGAGCTCCAGGCCCCTCTGCGCTCCATGGCCTTCCTAAGAAGCAGAGCCCTCCCCTCCCCCCCGCATGCAGGGTGAAGCTGCTTGCGTTTAACACATAGCTAGAAAACAAATGGATATTTTTCATGAATTCAGAGATCCCCAAACCAAAGTCTCATTTTATTTGCAATGCCCAATGCAAATGAATGCAGAAGCAAATCTAGCCAAATGCCGGTAACACACAGGTGCTGTTCTGGGTACCACAGGCTATTGGTTAGCAATGACAATCAAATGGAAGCTTTTCCATGGGAGGAAATTTGAGCTGTGACGTGTTTATGAGGCTAAAGCCGGTGGCGGTGATGTCACCGCAGCCTGGCCTCCGACTCTGATCCCCCCACCCCACTCCCTTTCCAACCTCACCGGGGAGGCAGCGGCGGCCGGGCTTTCCCCTCTGCAAGGGGTCCGTCTCCAGGCCTTGGCGATGAGAATTGCAGAGCTGAGCCGAGCTGCTGGCGCCCCAGGTGGGGCTGCTCCTCTCGCGTGGCCGTCGGGGTAGTGGTTTCGTTTTCCCTGCAGACTCTCCCTGTAAGCCCAGGACCTTCCTCAGAGCCCGTGGACCAGGTGACCACTGCACCAGAGAAGGAGAAGACCCAGGAAAAGCAGCACCCACGCGGCAAGGTAGGTGTCTGACATACTCATTCTCCACCTGGCACCTATGCCCGGTCTACCACCGACCAGGTCATGTGGTCAGTCTACATGGCTGTGATTGTTTCTAAGATTTGTTGTTGTTGTTGTTGTTGGCTGTGGGGCTTGAACTCTGGGCCTGGGCACTGTCCTTCAGCATTCCAGCTTAAGGCCAGCGCTCTACCACTTGAGCTACAGCACCACTTCTGATTTTTTGGTGGTTCATTGGAGATAAGAGTCTCAGACTTTCCTGCCCAGGCTGGCTTTGAACTGTGATCCTAAGATCTCAGCCTCCTGAGTAGCTAGGATTACAGGTGTGAGCCACTGGTGCCCAGCTGCTTCTATGATTTCTATGTGGAATAGTTTTTAGTGTGTGTGTTTTCATTCTGGAATGGTAGTTGTTATTCAAACCTTGCTGGAAGTGAGAATTCATCTTCTAACTGTGAATTGCACACAACCTGTCTCATTCACCCGGTCTATTGGGCAGTGGTATGGCAACGCGTAGACTTGGTTCCAACCTCAGACCGCAGGCTGGCTGCAGGCTGGCCAGCGGGTGTGCACAGCACTGGTTTGGTTTGGTGGGTTGCTGAGGATGGTTTCAGAAGCTTGCATCCCAAGCTGGATGGAGTATAAGAATGCCACAGATGAGCAAAGCCACTTTCCACTCTGAACTTCCACATGTGTGCGTACTTCAGCGCTTCCCTTGTGCTAACTAATGATGCGAGTGCTTTCCCTTGAAGGGAAAGGTACCTTTGCCAAAGGCCTAGGGCAGCATCGTGCCTGTGAAGTCTCATGCTCTCAGATGGTTAATTCGAGTCAACAAATCTTTGGACTTGGGACAGTGCAGGACGGTGAGGGGGGGATGGGGAGATGGACAGATATACAGGAGGTAATTTCTGCTCAGTGGTTACACAGTGTGTGTGGCCCACGGCTCAGCAACGCCGGCTAGCCTACAGTGGCCAGCCAGGCTCTCGGCAAGGACACGCAGACCTGACAAAAATCACCACCTACTGTTCACAGCCACCTCCAAAGGTGGAAATCTGGAGCTGAACGAGTCAGGGGTGTTTTATTAACCTAGCTCCCGTACTTGCTGTTGGCAGTGTCAGGTGGGTGAGAGGCCGAGAGTACTTCTGAATGGAAGGAAAGCTGCAGGGCCTGCGTTTCCCCCTCCGTCTGAGAGTGTGTGTGTTTCCGTGAGGTGGAGCAGGTTTTGAGTGATGGCCGCACCATCATCACGTTCCCCAACGGCACCAGGAAGGAGATCAGTGCGGACAAGAAGACCACACTCATCCGGTTCTTCAACGGCGACGTGAAGAAGATCAAGCCGGACCAGAGAGTGGTGCGTGTCCCCAGCGCCGGGCAGTCCTGAGGCCTGAGGCCTGTTAGGATATCTGGCCACACAGACCTTCTTATTCTCGAGGTGCTCGTGGACGAGGGAACTGGGGGGCAGGACACAGGCCCTCCGGGGAAAGGTGCCGGTCTATCTTGGGGTGTGCTGGGCGTGCGGTCTGCCTTGGGGTGTGCTGGGCGTGCGGCCTGCCTTGGGCTGTGCTGGGCGTGTGGTCTGCCTTGGGCTGTGCTGGGTGTGTGGTCTGCCTTGGGGTGTGCTGGGCGTGCGGCCTGCCTTGGGCTGTGCTGGGCGTGTGGTCTGCCTTGGGGTGTGCTGGGTGTGCGGCCTGCCTTGGGGTGTGCTGGGTGTATGGTCTGCCTTGGGGTGTGTGGGGCGTGCGGCCTGCCTTGGGGTGTGCTGGGCGTGTGGTCTGCCTTGGGGTGTGCTGGGCGTGTGGTCTGCCTTGGGCTGTGCTGGGCGTGTGGTCTGCCTTGGGCTGTGCGGGGCGTGTGGTCTGCCTTGGGGTGTGCTGGGCGTGTGGTCTGCTTTGGGGTGTGCTGGGCGTGCGGCCTGCCTTGGGGTGTGCTGGGTGTGTGGTCTGCCTTGGGCTGTGCTGGGCGTGCGGCCTGCCTTGGGCTGTGCTGGGCATGCGGTCTGCCTTGGGGTGTGTGGGGCGTGCGGTCTGCCTTGGGGTGTGCTGGGTGTGTGGTCTGCCTTGGGGTGTGCGGGGCGTGTGGTCTGCCTTGGGGTGTGCTGGGCGTGCGGCCTGCCTTGGGCTGTGCTGGGCATGCGGTCTGCCTTGGGGTGTGTGGGGCGTGCGGTCTGCCTTGGGGTGTGCTGGGTGTGTGGTCTGCCTTGGGGTGTGCTAGGCGTGCGGTCTGCCTTGGGGTGTGCTGGGCGTGCGGCCTGCCTTGGGCTGTGCTGGGCGTGTGGTCTGCCTTGGGCTGTGCTGGGTGTGTGGTCTGCCTTGGGGTGTGCTGGGCGTGCGGCCTGCCTTGGGCTGTGCTGGGCGTGTGGTCTGCCTTGGGGTGTGCAGGGCGTGTGGTCTGCCTTGGGCTGTGCTGGGCGTGTGGCCTGCCTTGGGCTGTGCTGGGTGTGTGGTCTGCCTTGGGGTGTGCGGGGCGTGTGGTCTGCCTTGGGCTGTGCTGGGTGTGCGGCCTGCCTTGGGCTGTGCTGGGTGTGCGGTCTGCCTTGGGCTATGCTGGGCGTGTGGCCTGCCTTGGGGTGTGCTGGGAGTGCGGTCTGCCTTGGGGTGTGCGGGGCGTGTGGTCTGCCTTGGGGTGTGCTGGGTGTGTGGTCTGCCTTGGGGTGTGCTGGGTGTGTGGTCTGCCTTGGGGTGTGCTGGGCGTGCGGCCTGCCTTGGGCTGTGCTGGGCGTGTGGTCTGCTTGGTGGGCGTGTGGTCTGCCTTGGGGTGTGCAGGGCATGCGGTCTGCCTTGGGGTGTGCGGGGCGTGTGGTCTGCCTTGGGGTGTGCGGGGTGTGTGGTCTGCCTTGGGGTGTGTGGGGCGTGCGGTCTGCCTTGGGGTGTGCTGGGTGTGCGGTCTGCCTTGGGGTGTGCTGGGTGTGTGGTCTGCCTTGGGGTGTGCTGGGCGTGCGGTCTGCCTTGGGCTGTGCTGGGCGTGTGGTCTGCTTTGGGGTGTGCTGGGCGTGCGGTCTGCTTGGTGGGCGTGCGGTCTGCCTTGGGGTGTGCTGGGCGTGCGGCCTGCCTTGGGCTGTGCTGGGCGTGTGGCCTGCCTTGGGGTGTGCTGGGCGTGCGGTCTGCCTTGGGGTGTGCAGGGCGTGTGGTCTGCCTTGGGTATGCGGGGCGTGTGGCCTGCCTTGGGGTGTGCTGGGCGTGTGGTCTGCCTTGGGGTGTGCGGGGCGTGTGGTCTGCCTTGGGGTGTGCGGGGCGTGTGGCCTGCCTTGGGGTGTGCTGGGCGTGTGGTCTGCCTTGGGCTGTGCGGGGCGTGTGGTCTGCCTTGGGCTGTGCGGGGCGTGTGGTCTGCCTTGGGCTGTGCGGGGCGTGTGGTCTGCCTTGGGGTGTGCTGGGTGTGTGGTCTGCCTTGGGCTGTGCTGGGCGTGTGGCCTGCCTTGGGGTGTGCGGGGCGTGTGGTCTGCCTTGGGCTGTGCTGGGCGTGTGGCCTGCCTTGGGGTGTGGTGGGCGTGTGGTCTGCCTTGGGGTGTGCTGGGCGTGTGGTCTGCCTTGGGGTGTGCTGGGCGTGCGGCCTGCCTTGGGGTGTGCTGGGTGTGTGGTCTGCCTTGGGGTGTGCTGGGCGTGCGGCCTGCCTTGGGCTGTGCTGGGCGTGCGGCCTGCCTTGGGGTGTGCTGGGTGTGTGGTCTGCCTTGGGGTGTGCTGGGTGTGTGGTCTGCCTTGGGGTGTGCTGGGCGTGCGGCCTGCCTTGGGCTGTGCTGGGTGTGTGGTCTGCCTTGGGGTGTGCTGGGTGTGTGGTCTGCCTTGGGGTGTGCGGGGTGTGTGGTCTGCCTTGGGGTGTGCTGGGCGTGTGGTCTGCCTTGGGGTGTGCTGGGTGTGCGGTCTGCCTTGGGCTGTGCTGGGCGTGCGGTCTGCCTTGGGGTGTGGTGGGCGTATGGTCTGCCTTGGGCTGTGCTGGGCGTGCGGTCTGCCTTGGGGTGTGCGGGGCGTGCGGTCTGCTTGGTGGGCGTGCGGTCTGCCTTGCGGTGTGCAGGGCATGCGGTCTGCTTGGTGGGCGTGCGGTCTGCCTTGGGGTGTGCAGGGCATGCGGTCTGCTTGGTGGGCGTACGGTCTGCCTTGGGTATGCGGGGCGTGTGGCATGCCTTGGGTGTGCGGGGCGTGCGGTCTGCGTTGGTGGGCATGTGGCCTGCCTTGGGGTGTGCAGGGCGTGCGGTCTGCTTGGTGGGTGTGTGGTCTGCCTTGGGGTGTGCAGGGCGTGCGGTCTGCGTTGGTGGGCGTGCGGTCTGCCTTGGGGTGTGCAGGGCATGCGGTCTGCTTGGTGGGTGTGTGGTCTGCCTTGGGGTGTGCGGGGCATGCGGTCTGCCTTGGGGTGTGGTGGGCGTATGGTCTGCTTTGGGCTGTGCTGGGCGTGCGGTCTGCCTTGGGGTGTGCAGGGCGTGCGGTCTGCTTGGTGGGCGTACGGTCTGCCTTGGGTGTGCGGGGCATGCGGTCTGCGTTGGTGGGCATGTGGCCTGCCTTGGGTGTGCGGGGCCGGGCAGTCTGCCTTGGTGGGTGTACGGTCTGCCTTGGGGTGTGCACGGCGTGTGGCCTGCCTTGGGTGTGCGGGGTGTGCGGTACTCTCGAGGCCCCCAGTGCACACTCCCACACTCACATGAGTCTCCAGCAGTCTTCCCACCCTGTTGTGAATTCCTTTTCACAATTTTCGTCACTACCTTCTAAGCAGCTGCATGAAGGAGTTTCACTCCGACCATCTTGACCAGCGTCCCCTGTCCATGGTCTCCTGTCTTCCTCAACCCCGTCCACTGTTGTGATGCTTCTGTAGCCATTGCAAACTTCTGTCAAACGTGGCCCATAATTGGGACTAAGTTACAAAGATTTCTGTGACAATGAGGTGGCCTACTGCGCACAGCAACATGGCGATACACACTTAGCAGAGGAGCCCAGCTCGGAGCTCAGTTAGCCTCGGGCCAGGTGAGGCAGTGGGCTGGAAGCTCCTCGCAGTCCCTCCGCCTCAGCCTCCACAGTGATGGGAGGAGGCTCCTTGAGCTGCCCGGGGCCACCCTGGCGGCCGCCATGGTTGTACGGGCGTGGTGTTTCCCACAGCTGCTTGCCTAGCCAGACACAGGGAGGGAGGGACCCTGATGGCTGCAGTAGGGCAGACACAGGAAGCAGTCCTCACCCCACACTCCTCCCCCTCCTGGCCACCTATGGCCCCAGCAAAAGCCCGCCTGCCCCCCCTTCCCCACCCAGCCGTGCGGAGCAAAGGCAGGTAGCTCTCCTCCCCAGCGCGGCCCCAGCCCCCCAGAAAAAGGCCTGCTAGTAAGTTTCTGACACTCTTCCATGACCACGTTCCCATGCCGGCCTTCCTCCGCTTCACCGGGAACCAAAGGCCTTGACGGCTCTGCACGGTGAAGTGGGGTCCACAGAGCACCATCTCGGGGCGTCCGTGGGCTGAGTGGGGCTACTCCCTGGAGCTGCCATCGGGGCTAGTGCTGGGTGGAGGGGGGCTGGCTCCGGGGGGTAAGGGGCTGGCTCTGGGGAGGGGCTGGCTCCAGGTGGGGGGGGGCTGGCTCCGGGTGGGGGGGCTGGCTCTGGGGGGGACTAGCTCCGGGTGGGGGGGCTGGCTCTGGGGGGGACTAGCTCCGGGTGGGGGGGCTGGCTCTGGGGGGGACTGGCTCTGGGGGGGGCTGGCTCTGGGTGGGGGGGCTGGCTCTGGGGGGATTGGCTAAGGGTGGGGGGGCTGGCTCTGGGTGGGGGGACTGGCTCTGGGTGGGGGGACTGGCTCTGGGGGGGGCTGGCTCTGGGTGGGGGGACTGGCTCTGGGGGGGGCTGGCTCCAGGTGGGGGGGCTGGCTATGGGGGGGTGGCTCCAGGTGGGGGGGCTGGCTCTGGGGGGGCTGACTCACTCCAGGTGGGGGGCTGGCTCCAAGTGGGGGGGCTGGGTCTAGGGGGGACTGGCTCCAGGTGGGGTGGGGGGGCTGGCTCGGGGGGGTGCTAGCTCTGGGTGGGGAGGTCCTGGCACTGGGTGGAGGGGGCCTGGCGGAGGGGGCATTCAGGTAGGAGCCCACAGACCCAGATCTTGCCTACTGAGGTCCCATAGGTGCCAACGCCCAGCAGGCAGCAGGTTCAGCGGCCCCGGCGCAGGACCGCGCTCGCTGCCTGCATCCTCTAGTCTCCCCCGCGGACCCGCAGTTCTGTGTGGCCCGCGGTTCTGTGTGGCCCGTGGTTCTGTGTGACCCGCGGTTCTGTGTGACCCGCGGTTCTGTGTGACCCGCGGTTCTGTGTGGCCTGCGATTCTGTGTGGCCCGCAGTTGTGTGTGGCCCGCAGTTCTGTGTGGCCCGCGGTTCCGTGTGGCCCGCGGTTGTGTGTGGCCCGCGGTTGTGTGTGGCCCGCGGTTGTGTATGGCCCGCGGTTCTGTGTGGCCGCGGTTGTGTGTGGCCCGCGGTTCTGTGTGACTGACCCACGGTTCTGTGTGGCCCGTGGTTCTGTGTGGCCCGCGATTCTGTGTGACCCGCAGTTGTGTGTGGCCTGCGGTTCTGTGTGACTGACCCGCAGTTCTGTGTGGCCCGCGGTTCTGTGTGACCCGCGGTTCTGTGTGACCCGCGGTTCTGTGTGGCCCGCGGTTCTGTGTGACCCGCGGTTCTGTGTGACCCGCAGTTGTGTGTGGCCTGCGGTTCTGTGTGACTGACCCGCAGTTCTGTGTGGCCCGCGGTTCTGTGTGACCCGCGGTTCTGTGTGACCCGCGGTTCTGTGTGGCCCACGGTTCTGTGTGACCCGCGGTTCTGTGTGGCCCACGGTTCTGTGTGACCCGCGGTTTTGTGTGACCCGCGGTTCTGTGTGGCCCGCGATTCTGTGTGGCCCGCAGTTGTGTGTGGCCCGCGGTTCTGTGTGACTGACCCCCGGTTCTGTGTGGCCCGCGGTTCTGTGTGACCCGCGGTTCTGTGTGACCCGCGGTTTTGTGTGACCCGCGGTTCTGTGTGGCCCGCGATTCTGTGTGGCCCGCAGTTGTGTGTGGCCCGCGGTTCTGTGTGACCCGCGGTTGTGTGTGGCCCGCGGTTCTGTGTGACTGACCCGCGGTTGTGTGTGGCCCGCGGTTCTGTGTGGCCCGCGATTCTGTGTGACCCGCGGTTGTGTGTGGCCCGCGGTTGTGTGTGGCCTGCGATTCTGTGTGGCCCGCGGTTCTGTGTGGCCTGCGATTCTGTGTGACCCGCGGTTGTGTGTGGCCCGCGGTTCTGTGTGACTGACCCGCGGTTGTGTGTGGCCCGCGGTTCCGTGTGACCCGCGGTTGTGTGTGACCCGCGGTTGTGTGTGGCCCGCGGTTCTGTGTGGCCTGCGGTTCTGTGTGGCCCGCGGTTCTGTGTGACCCGCGGTTCTGTGTGGCCACTCGGGACTGTGACCATCCTCTTACACCCATGCCTGTGTCTGTCCTCTGCCCTCTGCCACCTGCTAGGGAAGACCCTCTATCCTCCCGCAGGAGGTAGACCTACCAGATTAAAGCCAGGCTCGCCACAGAACGTAAATGGCCTTCTGATTGCTTACAGGTTTATTACTATGCTGATGCTCAGACAACTCACACGACCTTCCCAAACGGCATGGAGATTGTGCAGTTCCCAAACAAGCGGACTGGTAACAACGGCCTCACCCTGCCCGGCAAACTGTCATCCCTGTGCCTGTCCTGGGTGGGGTGGGAGGGGGAGCAGATACCCAGCATTAGGCAAGTTTCTAAAATTCAAGTTTTACTGGAGCAGTTTTCGCTGTTATCTGGCAATCCTAGTTATAAACTCATATGGCTAGAAGCCAACCTCTGTGAGTTTCATTAGGATATATAGCAGCTCTTTGTTCAGGAGTTGGCATGTTTGGTGACCGATTTCTTCTGTGTGTGTGTCCCCTGCACGTGTCCATAAACCTTTTGCCACTCCTTCATTTTAAAAAACGAAACCTTCAGAGAAGTTCCACCCGGACGGCTCGAAGGAAACGCTGTACCCGGATGGCACCGTGACGCGTCTGCGCGGCGGCTGCGAGGAGACGGTCTTCCCGGACGGCACCGTGGTGTGCGTGCAAAGGTCAGCCACCTTGGGGTTTGTGCGTCCGGTCACTGAGGCCTCTGCAAAAGTCTTTGGTAGTTACTTACTTATAACAATAGAAAATGGTGTCCTGGACCCTCAGAGTCTGTCTGCGAACCCCGCTTGAACCCCGCGGTGAAGCGCGTGGGTTTCCAGGGGTTGGTGTTTGAGTGGTCACGGCCACGCAGTGCCGTCTCCCGCAGTGACAAGCCACATCTAGGGTGGCAGTCCTGTGAGACTGTATGGCCCACCGTGCCAGGGCCACTGGGGATCAGCATCACCTGATGACACGGTTCTCAGGATGTGGCGTGCCGTGGGACTGTACTTAGTTCATGAAAGCTGACTGCTTGAATGACAACCCTCCACCGGGCCGTGCTGTCTATCCAGAAGCCTGTCTGTGAGAACGTGTGTGAACCTGGACACGCCTGGACAGCTGGGAGTGACCGTCTCACAGCTGGCTGGGGCATCGCCATCCACCCGGCTGCCTGAGCCCGAGTTTGGGAGCTGGCCTCTGCGCTGCCTGGGTGGAATTCCCGCGGCCTCGGCTTCCTGCCCCTCCAGCCTGCCGCGTGTCTCCCTCGGTCTAGACATGCTCTAGAGGCCACGGCGGCCTCACCCAGGCCCTTTTCTGTCCTGTGTTCCTGGCGCACCCGGTACCACCTCGCAGCCATCCTAAGCTGTGTTTCTGGGCCTCATCTTCTCTGCGCACAGATGCATTTCCCTCACCCACAGGCGCATGTCAGCAAAGCTCCACCCGCGCCCCCCCCCGCCCATGCAGCCCCCCCCCCAGGGTGGATGGGAGCTGGGTGCTGGGGTGTTGCTCTCCCCACTCGCTCCCTGCTCCCAGTTGGCCTCGGCAGGGCCTTCTTACCAGGGTGCTTCTCCTCGACCAGGAACGGTGACAGGACCATCACATTCAGCAACGGGCAAAAGGAGATCCACACTGCTCACTTCAAGAGGAGGGAGTTCCCTGACGGGACCAGCAAGACCGTGTACGGCAGTGGCTGCCAGGAGATTAAGTACGCTTCTGGAAGGCTCAAGGTCAGAGACCAGACCGGCAGTGTCATCCTGGACCGGAAAGCCCAGCCCCCCGCAGACAAACACTGCTAAAGGAGCAGCTGCCCCTCCATGGTCTTGGAGACGCCCCAAACTTTAGGAGCACACGCCACCTGGAAATGGCCAAGATCCCAGGTCCTGCTTGGGGCAAGTGCTCCGAACGGCTCCAGTCAGATACGAGGCTCACAAAAGCGACACCAGGTTATCTCTGCGGCCGCAAGGCCAGTTCCACCACACATCGGGTGAGGGGAGGGGAGGCCACACTCGGGGTTAGAAGAACCCAGTCTGGTGTCCGGGGCCTGCTCCAGACATACCGGGCCTCGTGACAGACACACGGACTGAGGGCTCCTTTGAGTATTTTGAAAATGCAAGTGCAAACTGCCGCTCAACTGATTTTCATGATACAATGTGGGACTCTAGAAGGTAAAAGAGAGTCATTTCTTGAAAATCTTTCATCAGATGTGTTTATTTAACTTTTCCTGAATGTATCTTTCATGTGTATACGTGAAAGATGAAATATCCCACTTAGTGACAGCGGATATTGGAACTGTAAGTTTATTACGGCGCATCACAGCGATTCTCGGTGTTTTGGTGATGTTCTTTAAAGTAACTGGAGAACAATGTGCTGTCATCTCCATGGCTGTCTCCATGGGCCGAGGCCTGCTCTTCAGATGAACGGCCAGCCAGGGCACAGACATCTATCAGCTGTCATGGGCCAAGCTCCTGACTGAAAACCCACCTTGGGTCTGGCTGCAGATGGACTTGCTTAGTGCGTGAGTCTTCTGGGTCAGCTAAGATGGGACTGTCATCAAGCAAATGAAAGAGGACATTGTTCCCAGCACAAACGACTCCTGGTGGTCTGCGGGAGGCTGGGAGGAAGCCAGGGTCGGATCTTGTCTGTAAACCACGTTCAGCCTCGTGTGACCAGCCCGACTGGCAGTTTTCACTGCGTGTGGAATGACGTCATTCCATGCTCCACTGTCAGGCGTGTAAAACCCTGATGGGCGGGAGCTGGGTGTCCCTCTGCTAGAAGTCTAGGTGGAAGAGGCATTCTGGCATTCCTGAAATTTGCTTATTAAAATGGCATTTCCTCCCAATTCCCCCAAAGCCAGACTCCACATCTCACTCCTAACCCTGTCCTCTGCTCTTTGGATGACAGTCTGCTGGCACAGGTGCCTGGAAGTCCCCAGCGGGCATGTGACAGAGGCTGGCTTGATCTAGGTGCTGCTAGGAGGGGGTGGAGCCTCGGGGCATGTGGGTTCTGGGAGGGGGCGGAGCCTCTGGGGGCATGTGGGCACTGGGAGGGGGCGGAGCCTCTGGGGGCATGTGGGCACTGGGAGGGGGCGGAGCCTCTGGGGGCATGTGGGCACTGGGAGGGGGTGGAGCCTCTGGGGGCATGTGGGCACTGGGAGGGGCGGAGCCTCTGGGGGCATGTGGGCACTGGGAGGGGGCGGAGCCTCTGGGGGCATGTGGGCACTGGGAGGGGGCGGAGCCTCTGGGGGCATGTGGGCACTGGGAGGGGGCGGAGCCTCTGGGGGCATGTGGGCACTGGGAGGGGCGGAGCCTCTGGGGGCATGTGGGCACTGGGAGGGGCGGAGCCTCTGGGGGCATGTGGGCACTTGGGGGCCTTAGGTGAGGTTACCAGTCTCCTCGGGGATTATCCAGCTCAGTCTCTTTCTCTTCTCCTTTGTTCTGGAGTGAGCCGGGTTTCACCACATGCTGTTGTGGGTTGTGCTGCCACACAGCTGGGCCTGCACCAGACAACTGATCAAGGGCCTCTGAAATAGAGCCAGAGTTAACCCTGGGGCCTCCTCAACCCCTTCTTAGCTGTTCCACAGTCCACATATGATTGTGGGAAGTGTGACCTGAGAGTTAACATGACTAAGTAAGACTGATCGAGAAATGGGCATAGCAGCCAAGCCAAATCAGAAGCAGTTGGAAAATTAATGCCAGTGGCATAGACACAGCTTGTGAGTTTGTTTTTCACTGCTGAAAGACAAAATATAGCCATCTATGCTTCTGACCTGGCTTGACCGCAACAGGGCGATGGAGAAGCCTCTGCCTGACCCTCGGTCTGGGTTGAGACTCCAGTGTCACCTGCCTGACATCTTGATGGCTATGAATGCCGTTTCCAGAGAACTACTTGCCATCCCCAAGTGTGCAGTGCAGGTGGTCAAAACCAGATAGAAAGTCCGCAAGGCCCAGAGACGGCTCTCCTGCCATGTGCGCCTGTATTATGTCATAAAAACTTACATTAAGGATGATTGCTGGATTTAGCTATTTGGACATTCAGTACTTTCCCCCCTCTTACTGCTGTAACAAATGAACCAAGCTTAGTTGCTTAATGACAAGGAGGTTAATCGGATTAAAACATCTGTGCAATGAGGGGCACCGTGGCTCATACCTGTAACCCAAGCTCCTCAGGAGGCCGAGTTCTTATCTTGCAGATGGTAGGTCTGATGGAGGAGCATACTGTACTGTGTACACTTTAAACTCCTTGATAAGATCCTGCGGGATGCAAACCAGCAGGATTCCACGAGGAGAGACCAGGGCCATTTCCCCGACACATGTCAGTTAGAGGCCATAAGGAAAGCGTGCAGTCTCAGAACACACCCACAGAAAACGGGAGTGTATTTTGCTACAAGCAAGGCAGTACCACAGAAAAATCAAGGGACGGAGAATGTAGTCAGCACCTATTGTATGCCCAGCATAGTGGAGATCAAAGCGAGGACTCCCAAGCCTCGGAGAGCCCAAATTTGGTGTCTTTGGCATACTGAGCCTTTGGACCCACAGGGAATTAACTTCTTCAGGATGAGGTCTTCTGAGCTTGGCTGCTCTGCTAGCTTTATATTTTCATTTTGTTGAAACACCATGTACCAAGGCACCCTTCGCTGGGGTCCTGGCTACCTGTCCCTTGTGACTGGCATAGACATGAACAGTCTATGCATTTAAGACACTGCTCTGTGAATCTTTAGGGACTGGTTTCAACAAGTTATGTCTTCTTGTGTCAGGTCCCTGGGTAAATGGAATTTCCTCTAGGATCATGGCTCTTGGTGGGCTTGGACTGTGTCACATGGCTTGGAGATGAATCCGGCCATTATGTTATCTAGGGCTACTGTTGGCCTGGGTCCTGTGGTGGACCGGATTGTCCCTGCACACTTGGGCCCTGGGACTGGTACTGGAGTTCACTTCAGGAGCTGTGGACAGGCGCATCCGCGGCCCATAGATCAGAGGCCTGCTGTCAGGCTGCCCCAGGAGAGAAGGACTAGAGCCATCTTACGGAGCGATGTCTGGACTCATGAGTCAGAGGTCAGTGTCAGCCCGCAAGGACCCGGCCCGACGGACCTTCTTCCAGCCGCTGTAGACAGGCTGCTCTCAGTCTGCAAGAGAGGGAGGGGCTGCGCTGGAACGCAGGGCCACAGGGGCGTCTACTGAGAGGTGATGATTGCCAGCCCTGCCCGCCCGGAAACCTGGGCGCACGCGTCTCCTGGGGGGCAGTGACCAGGCCGGACAGAGGTTGTGCGTTTTGGAGGAGCAATACTCATATTTGTTAGTAGGTCTGATGTAGGGTCTATACACAACGGGGCTTTTTGGGGGTTTTCAGTGACTCATACTATTCTGAATGATTGAAGTTGCCAAAATAATTTAGAGAGAGAGTGGTTAACTAAGACACAAAGTGAATTCCTGGCCTCTGCCCGCACTGCTCGCACCTAACCTTCCTGCACCGCGTTTCAGACCTCTTCCACGCGGACACGAATCCATAGTGAGGTGACGGAGGGTCCATCCACAGGCAAGGGAGGGCAGCCGCTGTTCTTCCAAGAGAGCTGAGCAAACAGACTTGTGACGCGTCCAGTCTGACCTCACGGGCACATACCGTGCTTGTCAGAGCACCATGCCGACGCCCGTGACCTCGGAGCTGGGCCCAGGAGCCCGTCACCTCCCTCAGCCGCTGGCTGAGCACCAGCTCTGGGGTAGGAAGTCTCAGTGTTCAAAACCCCACCTCATCTTGTGTTGTTTTTACTTTGGGCCACTTGGAAATGTTATCCGTTCTTTTTTGGAACTCTTGGATTATTCATTTGACATAATCCATTCCTGGAAGCCCCAAAAGTCGCTTCATTGAAAGGTAAAATGAGGGCAACGTTGCCTGTGTGGGCGTCTGGGGCCCGGCTGGGGGCTGAGGAGGTGCGTGAGGCCTCCCTGGTCCCTCAGCCCCGCGGCTGGGGGAGAGAGGATGGCAGAGGACGGCAGAGTCTCCCGAGGTGTGTGCCCGCTCCTGAGACCTGACTTGACCTCAGAGGAGTCTCTTGTGGGCACAAGGAAGTCCTCAGGCTGTTGATCACTGCCCTCAGCTAGGAAGTGCGTGTGTGTTTGGGGTACAATCCCGAGGCTTTCTTTGTGACAGTGACTTTCTTCTTGCGCATTCCATCTGTGAATCCTAAGATGATGTGTGTGCGCGTGAGCAGAGCACCCGGCCGGGCCTGCGCTGACTGCCCGTGGTAAAGGAGACGCTGGAGTTTTATTTGTGGCTTTGCCCCGTTCCCTCTCCTCACGCTTTAGACTGTTACATAGATCAGTCGGATAATAGCATGGACCAGTCTTCTCTTCACTGACACATCTGTGGAACAATCTTATGACAAGGCAGGGCTGTAGATGACTTCTAAGAGCCATGGTTTCAAGGTGTCACTGACCAAGATATCGAATCCAAAGAGCTCAAAGCAATTGATGGTGGTTGGGACAGAGGAGCCATGGTGAGGTGGTGAGGATCGCAGAGAAGTTGATCTTCTTCCACAAAACAGATTGTCCACATCCCAGTGACCGAGATAAGAGAAAAGCCTGGAGGGCGTCCACTTGCGTCCGTGGCCCGCCACTTCGTTGATTTCTCCCAGGAGGGGCCCCGTGGATGGATGCTGCTGTTGGTCAGATGAGAGTAATAGTCCTGCATGGTACTGAGATGAAACTTTTCCATAGCCAACAGCGCCAGGCCTCCCTGGTGCAGGTAAGTGGTGGAAGGCTTAACGCTGGTGATGTAGATGCAGACGGGAAGGTCACGCTGGCACCTGCCTATGTGTGGAGGTTGCGGATGCATTTCTGAACTATGTATGTATCGTTAAAGATGGGGTCTCTAGTGTCACTGAACAGGACTATGCCCGGCCACGGGACAAGTCTGCCAGCTTGCAAATCCAATAGCTCTGCTTGGTGCCCAGCGTCAGCTTCTCTTTACAGAATTTGGCCACAAACTTGGGTGGCCAGGGGCATGGTGAAGGGGAGGGGTGAAGGCATTCAGGGGGGCGTCGTACAGCTCTTCATGGCTCCAAGTGCTTGGCCAGGTGGGCCCCCGGGTGGTGGCTCAGCCGCTGCCAGGGCCTGATGCCAACGTGTTCCCTCATCGGAAGGAGGCGGCCCTCCAGGACAGGTGCCCATCCTCCGTCCAGCTCCGTCCACCCCACTCCAGCAGGACGCTCCGCACCCCTCGGGAGCGGTGTCATCCCTGCGGAACAGCAGCTGCTTCCAGGAGGCCCCGGGGCTGCTGCTCCTTCTGCCTGGGAACGCTTCTGGCCAAACCACGGCAGAGCTTTCCTGTGACTCGCCTCCCAGACCCCCCACGCCTCCTGGGCCAGCTCTCCCGCTGGAGGCCCTTCAGCCACCTCCTTCCTGCTCACCCACATGCTGGCGTGCACTAGGTTAATGTCCGGCTGTGTCTTGGAAGACAAACTGCAGACCCTGCCGAGCCTGAAAGGGAGCATAACTAGCCACTGGAAAGAATGTAAACACGTGCATAGCTAATGAGTTCTGATGTTAAAAGAAGTGTGGACGATCTCCCACCGAGGGCCCGTGGCCAGCTGAGCAGGCCGCCGCGCCTCGGAGCGGTGCCTGGCCTTCAAGCCAGTGGTGGTTTGCGGGGAAGAGGTGAGAAGCAGAACCTGAGTTTTTGAAAATCCACTTTGAACAGATCGACAATGATGATTCACACTTACCTTTCATGTTCTGAAAGGAAAATGGAAGTCTGGGTTTGAACCGTACTTCTGGACTTCAGAGAGGGAAAGAGAGAAAGTCTGGAGGAAACCATGGCTGACAGCAGGCAAGGTGTTTCACCCTGACCCGGAGCAGAGGAGAGGTGTCCCGAGCTTCTCAGGACAAGTCCTAAGACATCGTGTCCTCAAACATCCAGGTGAAGACAATCTCGACGCACTGTCTTCCTTGCATAATTTATCGTGTGATGACACGAATAACTAACTGATGCTTGAGTTTCTGATTTATGCAAAAGGAGAAAGTCATGACATATGCTGTCCTGAAATGAAGCAGCTGTAGAGGGAAGAGGGAGAGACTGAGGGAGGAGAGAGAGAGGGAGAGACCGAGGGAGGAGAGAGAGAGGGAGAGACTGAGGGAGGAAGGAAGGAGGGGGAGGGCTGAGTGGAGGAAAGGAGGGTGTGGAGCGGAAGACAGAAAGGAGGGAGGGAGGGATGCCTCTTCCCCAGCTTTGAAGCTAGAAGGAGTCTTCAGGATGGAGGCCACTTACTTCAAAGTTATCTTTGCAAATCCAAGGCCAGCTTTCACACGAAGTTTACCAAACCACTTATGCTCAGCAGGCTAGGGTGTGCTGTAAGATCTGTGAGCAGAAGATGAAGTGTGACTTGTTCAATCCATACAGCACAGGGCTGCTTCTGAACCGAGATTGTGTCTGTCTGGTCCGTGTGCATGTGTGCTGTGCACACTGCATGTGCGGTGTGTCTGGTCTGTGTGTGTGCTGTGCACACTGCATGTGCAGTGTGTCTGGTTCAGTGTGTGAGTGTGTGCTGCACACACTACATATGTGGTGTGTCTGGTCCGTGTGAGTGTGTGTGCTGTGCATGCTGCATGTGCAATATGTCTGGTTCACATGTGTGTGCTGTGCACACTGCATGTGTGGCGTGTCTGGCCCAAGTGCATGTGTGTGTTGTGCACACTACATGTGTGGTGTGTCTGGCCTGTGTGTGTGTGCTGTGCACACTGCATGTGCAATATGTCTGGTTCATATGTGTGTGCTATGTACACTGCATGTGCAGCATGTCTGGTTCATGTGTGTGTGCTGTGCACACTGCATGTGTTGTGTGTCTGGTTCACATGTGTGAGTGTGTGCTGCACACACTACATGTATGGTGTGTCTGATCTGTGTGTGTGTGTGTGCTCTGCATACTGCATGTGTGGTGTGTCTGGTCCCCCTGGTCACCGTGGGAGAGGTGGCCACAGGGGGTTTGAGCATTTGCACAAGCTGTTGACACGCCATGCCACTGAACTTGGACCTCATTTCAATTAAGATTCACTGTCCTACTAAAATGTGTCCAAGAGTCGAATGTCCAGTACAAATTTCACACTGGGTGGAAGTTCCCATACAGGGAAGGGGGGAGCTCTAGCTGGGAGCTGGTGGCTCACTCACGCCTGTAATCCTAGCTACTCAGGAGGCTGAGATCTGAGGATTACGGTTCAAAACCAGCCCAGGCAGGAAAGTCCATGAGACTCTTATTTCCAACTAACCACCAGAAAGCCAGAAGTGGCTCTGTGGCTAAGTGGTAGAGCCTTAGCCTTGAGCTGAAGAGCTCAGGGACAGTGCCCAGGCCCAGAGGTCAAGCCCCACGACGGACCAAAAATAGATAAATAAAATAAAAGGAAGGGTCGCTCCCATCCCCAAGAGGGAAGCCCTGCCGAGGGTCTGCTCCTCCTGGCAGGGTAGGGAGTTCACAATCCATGTGTATGCTTGCCCAGCGCTGCCTGGCACTGTGTGGCTGGGCTGTGAGTTCACAATCCATGTGTATGCTTACCCAGCGCTGCCTGGCACTGTGGCTGGGCTGTGAGTTCACTATCCATGCGTATGCTTACCCAGCGCTGCCTGGCACTGTGGCTGGGCTGTGAGTTCACAATCCATGCGTATGCTTACCCAGCGCTGCCTGGCACTGTGGCTGGGCTGTGAGTTCACAATCCATGCGTATGCTTGCCCAGTGCTGCCTGGCACTGTGTGGCGGGGTAGGGAGTTCACAATCCATGCGTATGCTTGCCCAGCGCTGCCTGGCACTGTGTGGCTGGGTTGTGAGTTCACAGTCCATGTGTATGCTTGCCCAGCGCTGCCTGGCACGGTGTGGCTGGGCTGTGAGTTCACAATCCATGCGTATGCTTGCCCAGCGCTGCCTGGCACTGTGTGGCTGGGCTGTGAGTTCACTATCCATGCGTATGCTTGCCCAGCGCTGCCTGGCACTGTGTGGCTGGGCTGTGAGTTCACTATCCATGCATATGCTTACCCAGCACTGCCTGGCACTGTGGCTGGGCTGTGAGTTCACAATCCATGTGTATGCTTGCCCAGCGCTGCCTGGCACTGTGGCTGGGCTGTGAGTTCACAATCCATGCGTATGCTTACCCAGTGCTGCCTGGCACTGTGTGACAGACACAGCCCCCAAGCAACAGCAGACACACAGGCAAATGAATGCCAGGAATCATTTGTCTTTTAATGCCATGAGATGAATGATAGATGCTGATATCTCATAAAACCATTGCAACGTGCAGCTCTTGGTGGCAGAAGGTGGGGATCTCGGCAAGCCCCTGACGGTATTAATTTATATTAATATAAAGCTAATGGTAATTTATCCACAGGAGAATAAATGGGCTCAAATCACTCAGATTGTAAGGGTAAAGGAACGTATTATGTATTATTATGTAAAGGAATGGACATTATGACGTGGATGGATAGCCCACAAATACATTATTACAAAAGTGCTATGAAAGCATGTACTCTTAAACACTATTTTCCACTTGACTCCAGACAGAAGCGGAGATGCTGTTGCTTAGCAACCACAGCTCCCATCTGAACAGCTCAGTCCAGGGAGCCCCAGGGCCACCAGCTTTAGTCTGTGTAGGAGCCATTTACAATCTCTCAGAATTCGGAAAGCTTTATTCGCAGCTGTACTCCTCACCCTCACTGGGAAATCTTAGTGACTTACTAGTAAACTCATAAACTACCAAAGTTCGATGCAAAAGGAACCGTAGATTCATGCTTTAATAATACGTTAACAATAGACACCCATCAATATACATGATGTATGTACTTTATACATAATATATACATTATATAATTCTTATGTATAATGTATATGCACCGCGTATATTGTATAATATGCATGACGTATATATACCATGTATGTACATTAATGTACATTATTATACATTATTAATGTACATTAATATACATTAATGTAAAGTCATGGGCTCCAACCTGCATCCCCTACCGCTCAAGTCCCCAGACACTGGAGGTGGGAGGTGGGAGGGGTTGGGGACTGCAGGAGGAGAGCTGGACTCTTTGAGCATCGTGCACTGGCCACTGCTCTCTTGGCAGTGAGGCCCGATCTCTTACCCCAAATGGTGAGGTCAGACGATGAGCAGCCCTCCTACAAACCAACACCAGGGAGGAGGCAAACCACATGGCCACTGTGATGGTTTCCTGGAAGCAAGCCAAGCCTTGCCTGTCTCCTCCTGACCTGGGGAAGGGACCACACTGGGCTCCAGAATGCTACACACTGGGGGCCAGTGGCTATCATTCATTACTGCCTGACAGAGAGGCAGCCAGGGGGTCTTACTGTGTGCATAGGGGTCCTACTGTGTGCATAGGGGTCCTACTGTGTGCATAGGGGTCCTACTGTGTGCACTGGGCTGGGTCTATGACCAACTCACTTCAGGGGTACAGGAAGATCAGAGCTCTTATCCCAAGGAAAACACAAACTGCCACTGTTAAAGACCGAATTGGCTTATTTTTAACTCAACTGCATGTGAAAATGGCACAAACAGGCTGAATCCATGCCAAATCCTTGAACTTTCTGTGGACATAGCATAGAGCCCTCCATCGGGCACTGGCCTCCACCTGAGCTGATTTAATCAGGGCACAAACAGGACCTGATGAGTAGTGGCCTGCTCAGGCCTCTATGTTTTAGATCACTGTTGTGATAATGACCTTCTGGTCTACTCAGCCCTGGCTCCAGGCGCTTCTGGCCTAGGGAGAGGCCGACCCGTTCCCATACTTCAGTGGGGTCCCCTTGGGTCCCACAGGAAGGGAGGGAGTCAGCTATAAACGGGGTGCTCAGTCCCTCTGGGGAATCCCAAAGGCCTGTGCATTTCCCTGGAGGCCTGATGGCTGGGCCAGGCTGGGGTGGGGCTTCGGGGTCAGAGCCCGGTGACCCGCAGTGACCTGCGTCCCCCTGTGTGGCAGCTTGTCTGCAGACTTTACCTGGACAGTTCTATTTTCTTGGCGCGCCTTGAAGGCCCCGGGCCAAGATCTTTTCAGGACACCTCCAGGCCTCAGATGGGGTGAGGATCTTTCTAGTACACACTGGCTGGCCCGAACCGCCCCAGGGACACCGGTGCTGGCCCCACCCTGCCCAGGCCGCTCGGCCATACACACGGGCAGCACGGGTGCGGTCCGGGTCCGCTGTCCGCTCCACTCTGCAGTCCCAGCCACCAAGAGCGTGTGCACCGCAGCAGCTCCGATCTCCCCCCAGCCCTTGGCCCACATCTCAGCCTGGCTCCCGCCCCACGCCAGGGCCCCTGGCCAGCCCAGGGTGCGGTGTGGAGGCGCCATGCTTCCGCCTCCTGGCCCCCGCTGCCTCTCGGGCCTCTGGATGCCAGCGCCTCTTGGGCCTCCCTCCCCTGGGACGTCTCTCGGTCACTCAGCCATCCCTCCCAGAACACGGCCATGACCCCCCCGCACAGCCCTGCTGTCACATCGGCTTTATCCCAGCCCCTAGACATTCTTGGGTGGTGTAGCTGTGGGTGGGAAGCAGCGGGCATCCGTCGGCTGTAAGCACCCAGGCCGGCGTGCGTGCGTGCGCGGGGCCGGCGCGCATCTTTGGACTGGAGGCCGTCCAGCGGCTCACGGCGTGGGAGGGGGCAACCTCTCTGCGGAGTCCCCTGGGGCTGGTTCTGCAGGGGTGATGCGGGGGGGGTGCGTACTCGCCGTCCTGGGGGTG